GAAGATGCCCCCTTTTTTCTGCTTAGATGCAAAGGATTATAAATGCCACCAACCACACTATTAATTCCACCCCCCCCCCGCACCCGAGTTCCTTCCACCGTCCCCCTCTCTTCCTTCCATCGCTTTGCCCTTCTACATGGACCTTGCCACGGCCTGCAAAACACTCAGGCCTCAGGCATCGCAAACAACTCTCCTTAGTCCTCTCCCCCCTGCATTCTGATGTTCAGGGCCTCTGCCATCTCACCTCTGTCAAGCTGCTTATGTCTCCACCCCTCTCCATGATTTCCCCCCAAACCTCCATTCATGTCCTAAACCCCAAGACCAACGGCCTTTCCTCAGCCTCGACATGTCTCGCAGATGCAGGCGGCATTTGACTTCCTTCCTGTGAGGGCCTGGCTCTCCCTTCCTGACTCGGCCGCCACCCGCCGCGCTGGATGGGCCCTGCCTGCCCAGCTCTTACCCCAACAGTCCACCACCCAGAGGCTCAACCAACGAGCTGCCAGGGCTGAGCCGCGCCAGGACCTCTGCCGGCAGGGCCGGGCCCAGGCCAACTCTTGCACGGACACCGAGCTGCAGCCTGGCTATGTGACCCTGCTGATGGAGGGTGCCTAACTCAACTATCTTTCCACTTGGGCCCACAGCAGCTATCTTAACTTCTTAACGTGACTCATTTTGGAATCCCAGTAAGATCTCTTTGCTTCTAGTTTCTGCCAGTGCCTTCCCCCGGGTGGCCCCAGGGTCTAGGGTTTCTTGCTCCAAGAATCCTGATTTCTATCTTGGGCCATCCATGAGCCCAGGCACTGTGCCCTGTTCTGCATGCTTCCAGGAGAGCCCCAGGGTCACTGCTAGCGGGGACTGGACCAGCGTTTGCTCTTCTTCCGGGCCCAGCTGTCTGGGCACCTTGTCAGCCCTTCTGCTCTGAGCAGTCTCATCCCTGACTCAGATGGCGTTTTCCTCACCAGTCTGTGACAGTGATTGGCTTTCCACGGTTTGGCTCAAGTATCTTTATTTTCTCTATATTCTCTTATCTGGCAACTACATTTGTGTGGCTTCAACTACTGACTCTTAAGCACAAAACAGGAGTGAGGATGATCTTATCCCAAGAGGCGTCCGCTGTGTTCCAGGCCCTGGTTGTGTGGTACTGTACTTTCTCACCTCCCACGTGGTGCTAGCAAAGCTTCATATTCTGGCAAGAGAGAGGAAAACTGATTTTGGGTCAAGTGTATTGCTCTCATTTTTACCTAGGCCCCAGGCTTCAATTCCATTTCTAATCACCTGGACGTCTTGCAGGCACCTTAAACTTAGTTTATCTACAATCAAATGGCTTGTTTTTACCCTCTAAAATCAATTCCTTCTGTCCTTCCTTTATCTGTCGTTGGGTGTACCATTCTCCTGCGCTTAGAATCAAACCCTGGCGTCGACTTTGAATGGGCCCATTTCTGTTGAACCCGCCTTCACTCCTCCAGCTCGAGCTCCGCCACACTGCGCTGCCTTCTCTTAACCCACGATTGCAATGGCTTCTCATTTGGGCCTCTTCCTACTTCTCTACCTTTCCTGTATGTTTACTGAGCGCCAGCACCAGTGATCCAAAGACTGTACCCCGGCCAAGGTGCTTAGTTGGGGGAAGTAGGCCTGTGAACAAATGAGGAGGCTCTGTGATCAGCCGACCAGCCGGGCTGGTCGGGCGAAGAGGGGGAGAGGTCTGTTCTCTCCCAGGGGCAGGGCTGGAAAGGCTTGCAGACAGGGAGCAGTGCTTGACCCGAGTCGGAGAATGGAAAATGTGTCTGCTGACAAGGAGCTCGAGGCCACGGGAGGTGGCGTGAAAGCAGATGAGGAGGTGTGGACCTGCAGGAGACAGGGGCGCTCAGGCCGTGGCAGGCCTCCTGTGGGCAGGGGAGTCACCGGCTTGTTAAAGGACAGGAGCAGGACAATGACACTTATTTGAGAACAGGCACTGGGGACACAGTGTGGACAGTGGATGAGCTCCGGGAGACCTAGAGCGGGGAGCTCAGTGCGGATGCCACAGACACAGTCCAGGTCAGAGACCACAGGGGCCAGAGCTCAGGAGGGGAGGAGGGGCTGGAGGGGAAGGGAGACGAGAGAGATGCTAGAGGCGGCCGAGACAGACCTGACAGGGGACGGGACAGTGACGAGGAAGGAGAGGGGAAAGTTGAGAGCTGGTTCTGACACTTCTGATCTGGTTGCCTGGAGACATGGAGGACAGAGCTTGTGAAAGGAAAAGGAAGTCTGCGAGAAAGACAGTAAGTTCTGCTTTGGAAATGCTCAATTTGAGATGCGTGTGGGACACACTTAAAGGAAAGCATAAAGCAGTTGGTAATACTGCCTGCAGGCTCTAGACCAGTGCTAATAGCCAATAGACCTTTCCGTGATGAGGGAAACGTTCTAGAGATTTGTGCGGTCCGATATGGTAGCCACTAGCCACGTAGCTACTGAGCACTTGAAATGTGGCCATACGGCTGGGGAACTGAAATGGACTTGATCTTACTGTATTTCCATTTCGGTGGCCACCTGGGACTAGAGGCGGTGGTACTGGACAGCACAGGCTCAGGAGGCATCAGTACCCATGTGTGATTTAATGCCTCCCTTGTACCAGAAAGTATTGAAGGTTTACAGAGCAAGATGAAATTGGCTTCAGAAACAGATGGTAAAACAAGGCAAAGAAAAGATGAGGGTAGAAAGGGAGGTGAGAGCAGAGTTAGGTTAGCACCCCAAATGCTGAGCATGAGGACGCTGTGTGAAATGTGAGCCCCAAACTTTGGAAGCCAGAGGAAGCTGGCAGCGCGATGGGGGCGCGGGCCGGGCAGGAGGGTGCAGCGCTGCTCGGGAAGGGCTTGTCAGGTGACGCTGGCCAAGGACTGAGGGCTGGGAGCCCAGGTGACGCGTGAGGGGCTGAGCGGGAGACAGAGGAGACTGAGAAGGAGAGGCTAGAGAAGCAAGGGCAAGCGCGACACGGTCAAAGCCAACCAAGAAATGGATTAGGGGGTCTGGCAATTAGGAGGAATGGTGAGAGTGAGGTCTGCAGACTGAGTGTGAGTAGAGGAAATAGAGACAGGCAGTACAGTCAATTCTTTGAGGAGCTGTGCTGTGAAGGAAACGGGAGAGGGTGCTGGCTGGAAGGCAGAGAGCTGCACCTTCCTTAGCACAAGCTACAGGCACGCGACTCACCTGCTCAGGGCCTGCGTGTCCCAAGCCCTGTCACTGAGGTCCTGCGACTCATCCTCCTCTCCTGGGACCTCCCTTCACACATCCTGCGGCCCACCCAACCCAGCCCAACCACACCACTCAGTAAAAAGACCTGCTGCCGTTGACCAAAAGGTTGGAGGTGGGAAAATCATCAGAGAAGTCCAGAGTTCGAAGAAGGAACCAGCCAGACCTCCCCCCTCCTCCTTCAAAGAAATAAATCAGCAGAAGTGTAATGACAGACCCCAAAAGACTTGCCAAGGTTGCTTAAGGATGAAGAATATTCTATTACTGATTAAACTCAGCGCCGTAGCTGAGTGAAACACGGCAACATGGCTGGCTCCCTGTCACGTTAAATCCTCTCAACGGTACTGGACTGTACCCTGTGATTATCCTAAGAGCTTCCTTTATCAATTTAATGATAAAATCTACCTTGCCCTTCAACATGCATTTCTCTCTGAATGCTAAGACCAGAATAGGCAGAACTGTCTGTATTTTGACCAAGTGCCCCGGGGGTCAATGCAGTGGTTCTCAAAGTCTGGTGAGCTACTGAAGCGGGACACGGCCTGGGCCTGTGTATTTTCACCGCAACCCCCGACGACTGACTCTGACACCCTCCAAAGTTTAGGGACCACTGCCATGACATCTTCTTTCGTGCTCCAGGATGGGAGTCCCCGTACCTCGTGTCTCATGGCCTATGAGGTCGACTTCGGCCCCAGCTAGGAGCCTCTGCTCAACCCTCCTTTCTCTTACCTGGGGGTGAGAGTTAGAATAATTTGGGGGAAAAAAACACAATTCAGGAAGCAGAATCAAGATGTCTACATCCGGAACCTCCTGTCTTTTCAGGGAGAACCTCACTCTATAAACAAAACTCAAACTCCTTTGATAGCTCTCCGAGGCCTGGCTGGTCCTAGAGTGTACGCCGAGAACAGGGGCTGTCGGTAACACCGATATCCAGGAGCTGGGAGTTTCCGCGCCGTCTCAGAAGGCCTGAGCACGCCCATACCTGTCTTGCTCTTCCTTCTCCAGACGTTCTTGCTGCTCCTGTTCCTTCTGCAGCCGGGCCTGTCGTCTCTTTTCGGCCAGCATCTTGGTGGCCTCTCCTGCATCAGTGGTGCCCGCTGTGGGCTTCCACGAGGCTGCATTGGAGGAAAAGATCAAGGGAAATGAAACAGTGACTGCACTCACACGGCAGCTACCACTTGGAATTGAAAAATCCAACCCAGTGGGTGATGGGAAATGCTGCCAGGACCAGCACAATCAGCCACCAAGCAGAGAGGCTGCAACAGGCTGGCTGTGACCCTGGAGGCATTCCACCATGGAGGGCAGTGGAGAGGCGACGGGGAGAGACAGGGTCACCAGCAAGTCCCAAGGCAGCCACCACCGCTGCGCCTATCTGGGTGAACTCACCGCAGCTGTCACGGAAGCTTCAAGGACTAAAGGAAGACCCTCTCTGTGGGAAAGGCAGATGCTGGCTGGATGCAGCTGAGCACCCCCGTGGGCTTCCACAGCTAGGAGCAGCGTCAGCCCCTCAGCCTCCTCTGCCAGGAGACCCTCAGGAGAGCGAGGGGAAGGACTCGGGGCAACATGCAAGCCTGAGAAAGTGGCACGAGGGCATGGAGTTGTCTCCGGGAAAAATCCCCGTCTCTCCCCCAAACCCGAGACTCCCGCGTGGATGGAGTCAGAGGGAGAACCGGTTGGGCGAGGAGGGCCTACCTCCACCGCCCTCGGCCTTCCCTGCCGCGGCCTCATGCTTCTCGGTGGCGTGCCTGTCTGCCACGTGCTTCTCTGGGGCCTCCTCCCCAGGTGGGCCGGCTTCCTGCGGAGCCCGGGCGCCCCCTGCTGAGCCAGGGCGCCCTCCCTTTCCTTGTTGCTCTTCTCTTTCTCTGCTTTCTTCTTGGGTGTTTCCTGGCCGGAAAAGGCGGGGAGGCGGTACTTCACCGGAGACCCTGGGTATGGCGGCTTCACGTTCTTTGGAGACTGCGGATACACTTTTGAAGTTGCCCTGGAAAACCAAAACCACGCCACAAGATGATTACTGGGTCTGACCACAGAACCCTCTGTTCCAAAGACACCTGGTTCCAAAAAGTTGAACAATTTCGTGCTTCAAGGGGAAGCTTCAAGGGGAAGGTGGAGCACACACTCAGAAGTCCCTGAAGTAGGGCTTCCCTGGTGGCTCAGTGGATAAGAATCCTCCTGCCAATGCAGGGGACACAGGTTCAAGCCCTGGTCCGGGAAGATCCCACGTGCCGCGGAGCAACTAAGCCCGCATGCCACAACTACTGAAGCCCACGCACCTAGAGCCCGTGCTCTGCAACAAGAGAAGCCACCGCCATGAGAAGCCCGAGCACCGCAACGAAGTGTAGCGCCCGCTCGCCGCAACTAGAAAAAGCCTGCGCGCAGCAACGAAGACCCAACGCAGCCATAAATAAATAAATAAATAAATAAATAAATAAATAAATAAATAAGAAGTCCCTGAAGTGTTATCACCCTAACAGGAACATACGGTATCTAGAACATGTCCCTGGTGGAAGGGACAATGTTTTAGGAAGCCCAGCCAATGACGTCATGTCTGAATTTCACTTAAGTTTGACGACAACATAAGAATAAAGTGTTAGGCATTTTCCTACCTCCTCTTTTTAGAGGAGCACCAGGGTTGGATCTGGCTTCAGCATATGGCAATGAACGACCCTGCTCCCATTTTTTTCTATTATGGCAAAATACAAACAACATGAACTTTACCATCTTAACCACTTTGAAGTGTACAGTTCAGTGGCATTAAGTACATTCACACTGTGGTACAACCATCCCCATCGTCCATCTCCAGAACTCTGTACTCTTTAAACGCTAACTCCATATTCCCACCTCTCCCCAGCCCCTGGTAACCACCTTTCCACTTTCTGTCTCCAGGAATTTGACAATTCCGCATACCTCATAGAAGTGGAATCATACAGTATTTGCCCTTTTGTGTCCGGCTTATTTCCCTCTGCATCTGTTGGAAGAAGGCCCATTACAGGTGTGCTGGCCTAGGCCTGGCTCCTGGTGACCACTGGCTGCTGGTGATGTAGATAACAGCCTAGCTTTAGTTGCCGAGTGCACCCAAAGTTCGCACAGGGGTGCGACATTTGTACAGAGAACTTTATTTATTTATTTATTTATTTTGCGGTACGCGGGCCTCTCACTGTTGTGGCCTCTCCCGTTGCGGAGCACAGGCTCCGGATGCGCAGCCTCAGCGGCCATGGCTCAAGGGCCCAGCCCCTCCGCGGCAGGTGGGATCTTCCCGGACCGGGGCACGAACCCGTGTCCCCTGCATCGGCAGGCGGACTCTCAACCTCTGCGCCACCAGGTAAGCCCCAGAGTACTTTTAGAAGAACATAAAGTAATCTGTTCGTACATTACACACTGTCACTCTCAACCCTGTAGCAGGCTGAACCCTATGAAAGTGCTAATGTTCAAGCATCTTTGATCTATAAAAACCGCAATAAAAATGGCAACTCAACATAATATTAAAGGCCAATTTCTCACCAGAGACCTAAAGAGTTTCCTAATCAGATCCTGGTGGTAAAAGGAAAAAATATAATCAGATCAACATTAAACTTGGCCTTGAGCTGGAAAATAATCCTCAAGTGGTATGTGGGCTGGAAAAGACGCAGGCCAGTTTTCCAGTGATGCTCTCACGGTAAAAGCCCAGCTCCGGGTGCCAAGGAGGACACATTTTCTCAGTTAATGCCAGGCTGAGGGCCACACAATGACCCAATGGTTACGACCTGAACGTGATCTGAATTTTTAAAATTCAGTTATTTCGGCATCAACCATTTTACTGATATGGAATCAGTCCAGATCCCACTTCCATGGTGGTCTGTCCACCCCTCTCTGGCAGTCTGCTCCGTAGCTGGACCACTGTGACCCCAGAAAGAATCACTTCATACTCTCCACACCGCCTTCCCTTGTGCCACCATTCTGTTAGGCCTGGAGTCACACAGAACCCCCGTGACACCTCGTCCACGTGGACGGTGCCTCCTCTTTGCAGACCGTTCTCCCTCTGCCCTGGGGCTCAGCCAACTCAGGCCCCACCATTCCCGAGGGACCTCTTGACAAGCAGGCATTTCTATATAACCTTGGTTTTCTACTTTTGTTCCTAGACCCTAACCAAATAAAAGCCAGGCACAGAATCCTCTTGCTTCTTCCATATACGTATGCATATGTACCAGGGTTTCTCAATCCTGCCGTGACATTTGGTGCTGAATCATTGTTGTGGAGCTATTCTGTGCACTGTTTCGCAGCATCCCTGGCCTCAACCCGCTAGATGCCAGTAGCAATCTCCACTCCCCGCAACCCACCCCAGGTTGTGACAATCAAAAATGTCTGCAGACATTGTCAAATGTCCCTGCAGGGGCAAGATCACCCCCAGCTGAGAACCACTGAGGCGAGACATACATATAGCGCCCCCCCGCATGCCCCTTCTATCTGTATAAAGCAGGTAAAAGTGGTGCTGCTCTGGTTGAGGGGCAGTGTCCTAATCCCCACGCCCCCCGAGGCCCGCCTATGAGTCTCCTGAGAGCCCTGGCTTGAGAGGGAATCATCAGTGCCCTCTGTGTTCAGACGGCCAGGGTCGCACCTGGATCCCTCCCCCAGCAATCTAGAGCTCACACTCCCTCTAGCACCCTCCAAAACTGTGTCCACGCTTCCTGAGGGCTGTCTGCACACCGGCCCCTGTGCTGCTAAGTGTATTTGTGCATGTATGTGCGTATACGTGTATGTCTCTTTTAGTTGTCAAAAACTGGCATGACACAGGTACTATTATTAGGGTCACTTTATGGAGGAGGAAGCGGGCTTAGAGAGGTTAAGTAAGCCACGGAACTGCAGTCTGTGCCCACGACTCCCCGACTCCACTTCTTCCAACTTGGCCCTACTCCCTGTGTCGCAATGGTGGCTAAGCCACAGCTTGGGGTCACCACAATCCCAAGATGTTCATTTTAGACCTGGCACAGAGTAAGCACACAACAGCTGTTAGACATCGGTGTTAGTGAAACATATAAAATAAAAATCCGAGTTATCCTCACAGACAAGAATGAACCAAAAGCAGGAGGAAGAAATAAAACGGCGGAAACCACAAGCCCCGCTACCTCATGATGACAGCGCTCCATTAAGCATCGTTTTCCAATCAGCTGCAAAAACCTGCATTTAGGTTCAAACAGCCTGTACTACCGTACAGCAGGGGATCTTCTGCTTGGCAACGCTCTCCTTCCACGCTGTCGTCTAGGGCCATACTGCTGCTATAACCACCAGGAGAGTGTCTTAAAGGACCTGGTCTAATGCACCGAGGTGATCAAAACACGTCACTTACTCCCTAGAATGTCAAGTGCATGCTCTGTGCAGCTCCGGTCCAACCACTGTGCAGGGCCGGGCAATGGCAAACAATTACTCCTGGATGTGGGATTTGGAGACAGAGGCAATAGGAAAGACTGCTATCTTACGGTAGATGACGTGGACAGAAACACCTTCTCCCGTGAGCATTCCTATCTTGACTCATTAAGTAGGAACTTCTGCTGTTGTAAGGACTGGCAAAAAGCCGTCTGCTCTTCGTCCTTGCCCTCAACCTCCTCCCCAAGGAGTGAGGCATGACTTCTCTGCTTGGTGAGACAGAGCAGACGTGCTGGGCGCCCACCGCCCAGTCCATTTGAGTTCTCTTGGGCACCTGCCTGCAGCGAGCACACATCTGAGCTTCCCTCAGTGGTGCCTGAGAGGTGGGTTCCCCCCGGGGTCCTGGTGCAGGCGCCTCTGCTGCGCATGGGCAGACATGCGAGGAGCTCTTCTGCAGACCCCGCTCCCACCAGGAGGGTCCCCGGGGCTGGACTATGGGGAGTGGGTAAGAGGCCTGAACTGGCTGCAGGCCCGCTTCATTCTATAGTCTTGCCTTAGTAGCGGAATGCCAGCATCTGGATCCCAACACAACCCCAGGGTCTGGTCTAAATGGCTCACTCACGGAAGGGAATGAGCCCGATGCCAGTCACACCCTCAGTCAGTGTGCCCGGAGCCTGTAAGAGGGACATGCAGGGCAGGACTACAATCCCACGGGGAAAAAGCTGGTCTGCCCTGGGTGTGAGAGGTCCTGACAGCCTCAGACCTACTCAGCCCTGCTCAGCCTTGCTTCACCTTGCTTTAAGAGAACAGTCATGTGCAGGTTCTGTTCACACCACAGACAGTAAGGTTCTGTTCTAAATAATACTGGGCCAATTATCCACGAGCACACATCTAAAAATAACTGCTACCTGATAAGTAAGGGTGAATTATTTGGGATAAAACGCAACATACTAAGGAGTCTATCTACATTCCCCTACCCCAGCTCTTGCCCAGTAAACAAAATAAATGAGAACGCACACACACACACACACACACACACACACACACACACACACACTCCTCGTACACACAATACAAACACGACCTTCAAATTAGAGAAGTGTAGGTAAATCATTGATTTTTTTAACAGCGAACGACCAAAGTACAGAATACGGTCTTAGAAGTTCCCTATTTTATCTCCAGATCCATAGAGTTTCCTGCTCAGCCTGCCTCACTACTTCCCTACGTGGACGTAGCACCTTGCCCGCAAGAGCTGCTGAGCGTGGGAAGCTTGAAGCGGGCAATGCTGGTCTGTCTGGCAGACCCTGAGGCTCTCTGGTCTCCAGCTCACACCACTTACTGCAAGCCAAACTAAGTCTGGCAAAACTACTGTTCCCCCAATTTCCTAGAAATAGATATCTTGGCTGATGAAAGAAATTAAACACAAATTAATCAGGGAACTCACTGTGCTTTCACAGAGTTTTGTTTTTAAGTACCGTCTCATCTATTTAATAAGGGTCTATTTAGTCACCACAATAACCCAGTGAGGTAGGTAGGAAATTACTATTAACCATATTTTAGATAAGAAAACCAAAATCCTAAGTGCTTAAATGACCTTTCCCAAGAGGTGTAAACAGATGAGAGAGCCACGTCACTTGATTT